CAACTGTCAGCAAATCACTTGGAATACCTGTGTTTGTTGCACCTCTGGCCTTCCTAGCTATTAAACAACGTCAACTTGGTTCCTCTCGGCAAAGAAAAGATATCATGGATGTGTATACCATGAAAGCAACCAACATATATTTCTATCGAGAGAGATCGATGTGAACGATGATCGTTGATTTACTTGAAAGAAAAATTTTCACATGAGTACCACATGGTCGTCATTGCTGGAGGTGGTGTTTCTCGTAACTCTGTTTCAGATGCACCGCATTTTACGGCGTCTTTCAACCATCCTTCGTTTGAATACTAACTTATGCCATCATTGATAAAAAATTTGGCACGCGCAATGCAACGGTAAAACTTCGTTGTCTTCTCATGTTACATATGGCGGCTTTTACAGTGCCATTTTTGACTCCCTTCTTTTTCCTTACCCAAAAGCAACCTGTCTGTCCCTATCAACTATATTACCTGTAAATATGCTGAAGATGTGGTGACTGGGTGCCCCTCCAATACTGATGTATCATCCCACCAACGATGTTTCAGGTGGTCTCCTCCCAGATCACAAATGCTCAATGTTTCCAAATGAGTCGACGTTCCCTTCAAAGTTAAATTTGGCTCCCGCTATCAAAGTACTTTTATTGATTTACCTTATCACGTCGTTAACAGTCACAGCATTTCCAAAGCTGACTCTGCTGAATACCTCGGAGTCGTTCTATCCCACAAGCTCTCTTGAACTATGCGTGTTGAGAACGTTTACAATAGGGTTCGTAAAATTTCTTTTTATGCTTTCAGGCTCAGTAAGCTTGCTGTTCCCCATATGTAATTTTCAAATTCGTGGTCGCATGCCTCTCTCCTCATTCCCTGTACTGTTCCACTGTATTTTTTCCCGGCCTGAAAGAAAAAGATTTCAAATTAATTTCCAGATCCATAAAACTCCTTCCCCAATGTAGCGGCATAGCCAGAGATCTCCTGATTGATTTTATTGTGTGCAAGCATATTGACGCATGCGAACGAATAGACGACCGAATCCTGAACAACAAAGATCATTGTTTGCACAACGAACTTCTTAAATCCATGTCAAATCCCGGTTTTTAGTGAATTGGGCACCAATTATTACAACTCCGATGGAACACCTCATGAATTACTTTATTTATCTATTTGGAATGCGAGCTCATATGCTGTTTGCTCTCTGCAAAGATTCTGCCAGAAATGATGACGGAACGATTTCAAAATGGTGGTCCACCTCAAATAAATGCCTAAATAACATATATTCAACTCGTAATTCGAGATCCAAATTCGGTTACTATGTTTGCAATGAAATACTTTATAAACACGAGCCCTGATTTGGTAAGACAATAGCAATTCAACTAGTTTTTGGTGCATTACAAATTGTAGCCGTCATATTGCCAAGTGCTGCTTTATCGGGATATTCATCAACCAATGGAATTCATTAGGGCAGGTAACTGGGTGGGAAAGGGAAAAAACGCATCAGTGCATTATGGAAGCATTTTATGCTTGTTAATGGGTAGGTTTTGCTTAGGCAACACCATTTAAAAATGAGCGATAGAGCTGAAACTATGTTTTGTCTCAATTTGGACACTGAATCTATCTGGTAATTGACATTTCAGAAAATTTGAACGGAATGTGACAATAAGGTAATGCACACCAGGCGGTTAATTTAAGATTACTCAACTAAAGGTGACATTTGTAACAAAAGATTCGCAAAGGAGAGACAATTTACACTTAAGTTGTTGAAAAGTGAATAAGTTTGTTCTTGGTTAGACTACTAAATGCTCCGCAGGAGAAAAGGTTGGCAATGGTTTTAGATAACCGATATTCCAGGATTTCTAATACCCTGTCTCGCTTGAAGAGTACTTCAACAAACATCTCCTTCTATCTAACCAACTGTGCTTTTCCATCGTTTAATTTTAATTCCATGTATCGTTAACAAACATCTCTGGGTATCGGTTTTCCCGAGGGTGTCGCTTATGTAGATCACCTATCGGTTCAGGGTCTCGGGAATAAAAATTCTCTTTACCCGGTACGCTAGAAAGTTCGTTTTTATCTCATTCGGACGAAGCTTCGAAAACGTGTGCACTGTTCCATTCACGTGCGCTTATGATATACTTTTCTTCCGCATTTGGCCATGACCAATGTCCAGACAGGCGAAAAAGTTGTTTTGTTCTACCTCCATTTATCTCATATATCCAGATCAGTCTTGTTGAATACTTCAAGTAACTTATTAATGTGCGTTCCAAAACCACAAACGAACCATCCATTTGTCCGATGTATAGATCTAGACTGTCAGTTGTGTTCCTCAATAGCCCATCTCCAAGCTTGATTAGAAATATATCTGCCAGTGGTGGTCCGATTTCTACACTAACCTTCTGTCGATAGTACTTTTGACTGTAAAAAACTGTACGTCCCAAGTAGATCTCAACATGAGTTATCTTAGTATTGTCCAGGGTAATTCAATCCGGATATTATGTTCAATAATCTTTTGACAAAGAAACTCTACCATTTTCAGTATTGGTACTAGGATTTGTCATCAAGGGAGAGCATGGTCTTATTCGACACGTCTTGATTCCCGATACAATCAACGAATGCGAAAGAATCTTTCACGCTAATCTGGCTAGCGATTTCTGCATAGGCTCTAGAAATTTTTACAATCCACTGCGCTTTGGCGTAATAGGCAGAATTGCTCACTGCCAATCACTGGTCTTAGTGGCACATTTGGATTGAGAATTTTCGGTAATGCATAGTTTGGGTTGTAGAGATCCACATTTAATGGGTTTGTCAAATGTAGTCATGGAGATGTACTTTTCTGCCTTAAGTTGCTTCAATATCTCTATGAGTAACTTTTCGGATTCGTGCGTTTTATCCTTCTCTGTGGTATGGTGACTGAATTTGCTGATATCTGCAAATATTGAACTCAACTTATCGCGAAAGTCAGACCGGTCAAACACTACCATGGCCTTGAAAAAAACAGAACTGCTTTCTCCATCACTTTGCATTTTCCTATCCACCACTTCTCGCGATCATTCCTGAGACTCTTGATGAACTAGCGTTTAAGGTTTTGCGCGCTGTTATATGTGATTTCAGGAGTAAGGGTTCTGCGGGCGTCCTGCAGGGCAACCGAGGTCGATGAGATCCGTCGTTTGTGTTTTGAATCAGCGACAGGATCCAACGTTGTTTTTAATGATATTTGCATAGCTTTCTTGATTTGCTTCCAATTTTGATTGAGTCCTTTGGCTAGTGGTTGAACTGAGAGGCGATCGATGAGTTTCGCTTCGAAGGCCGATTTACGACAATCACTGATACTGTATCGTGGGTATCTGTTCTCGGTTTCATTTTTTCGGTTGTTTGTCAGGCGTAGGGAGAATTTGGCTCGTAACAAGGCGTGGTCTATATGCACAGGCGTTGACCAGTAAGAGCGTCAGTCTTGAATTGACCCCCTCCATCGGTAAATAATGGCGATGTGGTCGATTTGGGTCCAGCACTGTGAAGAGGTTGGTGGCTTCCATGTAAGGCGGTGTCGTTTTTTATGTAAGAAGTTGGTACTTGACAGGAACAATCCGTGGTCATCTCAGAGTTGAAGTAGGCGATCTCCATTGTCCGTCCGGTTGGCTGGGATTGTATTTGGTCCGCCGAGAAGCCTTTCTGATTCGTCCAGATATCCCACTTGGGTATTGCACTCTCCGGAGACTACTACAATATCCGTTGATAGAACGCACTGGAGTAATTGAGAAAGGTTCTTGTAGCGTTCATCCTTGGTTTCAGATGTACTGCAATCGCTCGATGCATACACAGATACGACGAACAAGCATCTGTAGCTGTTGACCCGCGCTGAACCGTTGAGACGTACAGCGCACAGTCGGCTACTGACTGGAATCCAGTTGAGAAGCGAGCCATTAGCCTTTGCATTTAGCGCCAAACGTTCCCCAGTAGCATTCCTGCGATTCCTCTACCGCGGTCTTTTATCTGGAGATCATTCTTCCTAAATTATCAAGATTCAATTTAGATGCGTCTAGTTGGTTGAACGCATAACATCTGAGCGATCGGGTGTTTGCTTTCACATGATTTTGACTCAACATTGCCCATTAGGTCTTTGGATTATGATTGTTTTGTACACAGTCAATGAAAAACTTCACGGTAGCCTTTTATTCCGCGAACCTCACGGTGAACTTCATGTAGCTGTTGAGATCTTTTAACACCACCGGCTGTTCTCTCTGTTGCAGATAAGATCAGAAAGACATTTGCCAATTATCTAGCGTCATAGGCACGACACAATGTTTCCAATGATACTTTGGAACGAGCCGACCGTACTTAAAACTGAGCGGCCAAAACACAGCAGCCAAAAGCGCTGAATGAAGATGCAGTTTCCGTGATTCTATACATTGAAAAATAAAACGGAATTTAGCTGTTTAGAAAAATCCGATACTCAAGATTATCGATCAAGTGATTATCAAATTGTACCGATTTGATGACAACAGCAAACCCAATGAAATTATCAGTGCAAATATAAGCTTTCCATAATAACAGGAGAGTATATTTATTACTGCAAGAAATGATATGTACAAACAATCTTTGCATTTGTGATAAACTGAGGAGAAAAGTCAGCTTGCATTTTGCTTACTGGAAATGAACTGGCAGAAAATTTTCGTAGAACAATACTTCTATTTATAGTACCCGGTGGGTTATTGATTCCGTTAAGTCTGATTTGAAATCACAGAACACCAAAAATTGAAATACAAACTGAATTTTCGACTAAGTGCGCTTATCAAGTTCTGAGCAAAGTTAAATTTAAATTGCTTCGTCTGAGTCAGGTGATTCTCCACATCTGCGTAATACGAGTTGTCGGGAGGTGTGCTTGCATCAGCCAGAACAGTACGCCTACACCAATACCGATGGTAACTTCGGAATGTTGTGAACCTACAAATATATAAGCACCAGTGTACCACTCAATTTTCGCAATCATGTGCCTGGCTATGTTGGATAAGAATGCCAGGCAAATATGTAGAAAAAAATTACTGCCACTGTTCTTACTGTGTCAGTCGTCCCGTGATCACGTGGCACGGCGATACGAGTGTGCGCTTAGAAACGTTCGAAAAACGGGGGTAAGTGATGTTATCTCTATTGGTTTCTTTTCACTTGAGGTTAATTACTTTCCTTACACTTTAATCCGGATGCGCTGGATCCGTGAGACATCAGATTATTTTAGCTTTTACCCAACTAGGAGAGATGCTTAGGACCTAAACAGTTTTTCACAAGCGAAATGATGCAGATACATATTTTAATCAGATGCATTTTGAAGCTTATTGAATTGTAAAAGCTGACTGTTTAAACGTATCGCTATTGGAAACCGAATTTCAAATAAAAGTACAAATTCACAAATTGTCATTTCAGACTTGAGCCTCATTTGTCCTACTCAGTTGATAAACGCAAACGATGGCTGTTGTTGGATGAGCTGCGCGAGGAACTATCGGAACTGACGAACTCGGATGGCGCGATCTTCGTATCGGAATGGAATCCATACTTCGAAGAGAAAAGCAACAAACTGTTCCACAATCGTTTGAATGTAGACAATGTACTGCGCCCAGGCGGATCAGGTCAGTTGAATACGAAGTTTTATCAATTACTCCGATCACAATACTCGACGCAGAACGAAGTGTTGTTGTGCACCAGTCAGTTGCAAGGAAGTGTCGCCGATCCCACAGAAACCACCATAAACCGCAATCCGCAAATGTAGAGATAAAGGCAAAAGTAAATCGGAAAAAGTCGGTGAAATCATTTGCGTCAATTGAACTAGTAGGACCAGTTAAAATGCCAAAAATATGGTTGAATATGGGTGCTCCATTTTTGATGGATGTTTTCCGGAAAATGAACCAGGCTACTTATGAGTAGTAGTAGTAGTAGTAGTAGTAGTGGTAGTAGTAGTAGTAGTAGTAGTAGTAGTAGTAGTAGTAGTAGTAGTAGTAGTAGTAGT